TTTTGGATATTAGTCCCTTATCAGATACATCATTTGCAAATATCTTCTCCCATTCAGTAGGTTTGCCTTTTTATTTCATTGATCGTTTCCTTCTCTGTGCAAAAGCTTTTTATTTTGATGTAGTCCCAATAGTTTTTGTTTTTGTTTCTCCTGCCTTAAGAAAGAAACATGCCTAGAAAAATGTCGCTTATGGTTAGTGTTAAAGAGATTACTGCCTGTTTTCTTCTAGGATTTTCATGATTTTAGATCACACATTTAGGTCTTTAATCCATCTTGAGTTTATTTTGGTGTATGGTATAAGGAAGTAGCCCAGTTTTCCCAGCACGATTTATTGAAGAGACTGTTTTCCCCAGTGTATAGTCTTGCCTTCTTTGTTGTAGATTAATTGACCATGTAAGCATGGGTTTATTTCTCGGCTCATTATTCTGTTCCATTAGGATTTAGGTGTCTGTTTTTTGTGTCAGTACCATACTGTTTTGATACTACAGCTTTGTCGTCTATCTTGAAGTGTGATACCTCCAGCTTTGTTCTTATTTCTCAAGATCGCTTTGGCTATTTGGGGTCTTTTGTTGGTTCCATATAAATTTTAGTATTATTTCTTACAGTTCTGTGAAAAATGCTGTTGGTATTTTGATAGAGATTCCATTGAAGCCATAGTATTGCTTTGGGTAGAATTTTAACAATTAATAACAATTTAATTCTTCCATTAATGGAAGGAAATACCTTTCCATTTGTTTGTGTCATCTTCAGTTTCTTTCATTAATATTTTATAATTTTCAGTATGAGTCTTTCACTGCTTGGCTGTTCCTAAGGATTTTATTCTTTTTGATGCATGTTCTTTTTGAGTTTTATATTACATGCACACATACTCAAAAATGAAATAATTTAAAAATAAAGTGAATGTTTTCACTATGAAGAATACAGAAAAATTTTTAATTGTAATTAAAGTATGTGATGCTATCATTGAGATTTTTCTCTATTTAACAGTTGTGAACACTTTCCCATATCTTTTAAAAATATTCAGAAACATGGGGCACCTGGGTGGCTGCCTTAAGAAAGAAACATGCCTAGAAAAATGTCGCTTGGGGCATTAAAAATATTCAGAAACATGGGGCACCTGGGTGGCTCAGTCAGTTAAGCGGCTCAGTCAGTTAAGCGTCCAAATCTTGATTTCAGCTCAGGTCATGATCTCAGGGTCTTGGGACTGAACCTCACCTCAGGCTCCACACTCAGCAGAGAGAAGCCTGCTTAAGATTTTCTCTCTCTTTGTCTCTAAAATAAAATAATAAAATAAAATAAATAAAATAAAAATCACAAATGTTTTAATGCCTGAAGTATACTTCATTTGGCTGTAAATTAGATATATATATATTTCTCTGTTTTCCATAAAGGAGCTCATTTTGATATCTTAGTTTTTGACTATTATAAGTAATATAATGAATATCTTTGTACATTTATCCTCATGCACAACTTGGATTCTTAGAATCAATTATTATGAGCTGAGCTGCTCAAGGATATGAAAAAAGTTGAAGTTTCTTAATGCATCTGAGCAAATCACTCCCCAGAGAGGCTCTGGCAGTTTATACTGTCATTAGCAGTCTGATAATGACCATTTTCTGACGCAGTTTCCAACTCTAAGGATTCATTTCCCCATTGCTGTTGACTTTAAAGAACAGAGAGCAAACATTCAAATGTTGAAGATAAATGAAATTATGTACTTGTGCTGCGGATCATGGGGCTCCCCAGACTAAATCCTAAGACAGCTTTAGAACCCCTTTTCCCCAAGAGGATGAGGATGGGGCAGAGGCAGCCAGAGCACTCTGGCTGCATTGGTGTTTTCTAGGATTGGGCTTTGCGCTTGGCACATTTCCCTCTCTGAGCTAGGAGGACCAGCTCTTTGCACAGGTTAACTTTGTTAGGCAAGGGCAGGAGCCCAAAGCCCTAGGGTGTCTCTTCCAATGGGAAGCTGACCTTTTAGATGGAGCTTATAACTCCATCCCACAGTGTCAGACCCTAGAGATAATGGACAAGAATATCAGTAGTCTAAGGTGGACAGAGACCTTTCCTGGCAGCACTTGGGAGTCGCCACAGATAGGGAAAGAGAGATGGAGGGAAGATAGATAAGTAGACAGAAATTTGAGAACTATTTATTGAGCACATAGTCTTTGCCTAGCACTGGTCGAGAATCTAAGGATGCAGCAGCCAGAGTGTGTTGGCTCTGCTGCCTGGATTAGGCCTTTTGGTCTGGCATGGTGAAATCCCTGTTCTATGGAACCAACATCCTAGTTGGAAAGAAGTTGAGGAGACAGAGCTTGGGGAGGTGGTGTGGCTTTCCCAGGGCCTGTCTCTTGTGCTTGGCAGCGGATGTAACACAGAGGATGAGCCTGGGCCCAGGAGCCAGATAGATCCCCCTACCACCTTTAGTCTTGGTTATAAGCTCACCTCGATGACCTCAGAAGGCTATTGTGGCAATTTAGTGAGCGAGGTACAGAAAGTGTAGAATGACTTGGTAACTGTTACCTTTATTATTACTATTAGAATTGTCAGAATTTTATTGTTATTACTGTTACTGCAAAAGGCCAGTCCCCTGTTCTGAAGCTTTGGGCCATTTCCCAAGAGCGAGAGTGCAGAAGTAAAACTTCTGTGACCTGCAGAAGGAACCACATCTGGGACTTCAGAGAGTTTGTTGTTTTGTTTTTTGCTGAGAAGACCAAGCACTGGGGCAACTTCTTTCTCTCAAGGCAGCCAAGAAAAGTAGTCTGAGCACACCCTCTATTGGAACTTGGGGGGATTGCCTTAGACAAGCCCTGCCTTTATTTTACGGATGGGGTAACAAAGGCCCAGAGAGGGGCAGAGCATTCTCATAGTGCCCAAGCTATATTCTGTAGTTGTGTCTTCTGAACTAGATGTTGTGGGGAGATGTGGGGCCAGCCCTCCATACTGGCAGCCCAGCCCGTGCTTCCACGCTCACTCCCTCTCCACACTTACCAAGCCCCCTACGCCAGGCACCTTCTGCCAGTGTCAGTCACCTAATGAAAGCATCATGCGATTGGGCTGATAAGAACTTCCACCATTACAGAAATAGTCTTAAAAGTAAAAGTTCCCTTAGTTACAAAGAACCACACTTGACAAAGTTTTTTTCTTCATATCTGCTCTTTCCCTACAGAAACTAGTTTCTATCTTAGGTGTTGCTTTGCAATTAACAGTTTATCTCAGAAACCTTGCTATATCAGTACAGGTCCATCTGGTGGTGTTATTTGAATGCCTTCAGAAAATCAGAGGTGCTCAGTGAGAAATGTTCATGTCCCTCTAGCAGATGAACATTTTTTATATAATCGCAATACTGATCGTTGGCAAGGGTGCAGATAAATGGACAATCTTATGTGTCACAAATGGGAATATAAATAGGAATAGTGCAGAATTTAAAAGTTTTTTCCCTCATTTTTTTGTCATCGTAAGTACCTATGCTATTCATGAAGGCAGCTTGGCAATGTGTCTAAACAATGTGCTTAAAAATCATCTCATCCTTCTCTTTAGCCCAGCAATTCTGCTTCTAGAGATGTACTCTAAGAAAATAACTAGAGCTAGGCACAGAGATTTACATCTTGTACTGTCTATAATGGTAGAAAATTGGAAACACCTCTATATTCATTTCTAGAGGACTGATCAAATCTTGGTACATCCAAGTACGTGTGTACAAAACTCATCTAGAGGGAACCTTAATGACATGTTCTAGAATATTCTATGGAGGAGGCTATAAAATACAGTATGAACCCCGATTTTTTTTTTTAAAGATTGAGAGCGCAACCAAGCCACCCAGGTGCCCCGTCCCTGATGTTTTCAAATATATATGGCTCTTCTTTATATATGTGGTTTTCTTCTCTCTGTAGGCTGTATTATCAACCAGTAGAGCTCTTAATCATCTCTGTAGCAGTAACTTCTAATTTCCTTTCTTCCCCATACCATCCCCCATCTCTCTGTGAGTTCTAGCCCATTAACTCCATGCACCTACTTTGCATCTCCCCCTACAGGGCTCACAAGCATCTCCAAGTTGGTATGGTCAAATAGAACTCTTAATCTTCACCTCACCATCATGCCCCAAAATTTTCCTCTGCTGTTCATCTTAGTAAACTACACTTCAGCTTAGTTGGATCAGAAAGCTCACTTCCCCACCAGTCAGATACCAGGTCCTATTGATTTAACCTCCAAGGTAATCTAGAATCTGCACCACTACCTCCTCCTTCCTCCACTGACCATCTTCTTACACCTGACCTTCAGGAGCCCACAACTTGCCCACTTCTGGGACCTGCTCAACCCAGGTGCCAGAGTCATCTTTGAAAGTGCAGATATGATCTTTCGTGACCTTTACAGATGTGATCTGGCCCCTTCCTATCTCAGCAGCATCCTTGGTGTCCCTTCCCCCTCGGTCAGCATATCCAGCCCATGGCTCTTTTGGTTCTTGCATCCCACAATACCCTTCACTCTCCTTAGCCTTCGTAGATGCTCTTCCCCTCAACTCCTTGTCTAGATAACAAGTCTTCTTGGAGGTCATCTAAAATGTTGCTTTCTGATCCCCAGCCTTGGTCAGACCCAGGTAAGTCACTCCAGCACCCTGCCTTCCTCCTGGAATCCCTGAGCACTGGTAGTCCCTTGGGTGATTTAGGCAATTTGTTATGGCCCCCAGAAGACTGCTGGCTCCTTGAGGGCTGAGACTGGCTGATATGTTCACGGCTGCATCTACAGCATGTAGCCAGTACTGGATATTTATCAATAACTTTAGAGGAAAGACAAACGATGTTTTTTAAACTGTTGATAGTAGTTTCTTGGCTGTGAAATTATGGGTGATTTATTTTGTTCTTCATACTCTTCTGTGTTTTGTCTTCAATGATCAAAGCAAAAACTATCGTTTTGTCAAAAGACATCCATGCTGGGGGCCAAAGCGGAGTCTTTGCTTTGGGGTACACTTGGCCTCACCTGTCCCTCTGCCCCTGTTCCCACAGGTCTGAGGAGCAATGCGACAGGCATGATGGAGGTTGAGTCCTCCTACTCAGATTTCATTTCCTGTGACCGGACAGGCCGTCGAAACGCGGTCCCTGACATCCAGGGGGATTCCGAGGCCGTGAGCGTGAGGAAGCTGGCTGGAGACATGGGCGAGCTGACGCTTGAGGGAGCAGGTCAGAATGCATGGGTCTTCATTCTTGCTCACGAGTCCCTCTTCCGGGCTCTGGGGCTGCCCTTCAAGTCCTAGACTGCTCACTTTAAATCAGGCCCCAGTCTCATGGTCAATGGCCAAGAGGCTAACCAGTTTCTAGGCTGGAGGGCACCAGTGTCTCAGGCCCTGAGAACTCTATGGCCAGGCATCCTGGGCCCCTCCCTTTCCTCCCCACCACCTCCGTCCACAGGTACTGCCAGTTCCCTTTCCAGACACATCCCAGGTCCCTCTACCCTCAGCACCCAGAACCCCCACCTGGCTCACTCATGGCCCACACACTTGGCCTCCCTGCACCACTCCCCACCAGCTAGCCAGCTGCCAGCAGTCTTCTTCAAACCATCCTGTCCTATCATGCCTCTACCCCAAGCCCCCTGTCACACTCATATTGAAGCAGGAGTTGTCACAGCACCCTACGGTGTGACCAAGCCCTGCCCTCCTCTCAGATTTAACTGGGGGGCCCTCTACCCTCACCCCATTCCCACCATTGGTCTGTCAAGGCACAGGCATGCTCTCCTCAGAGCCATCTGTGTCATGATTTTCTCTGCTGAAACCTTCCCACCTATCCTATGGCTGAATTCCTACTAGGTGCTCAGAGGGGCCTGCCCTGACACTGATTGAATGACAAGAGTTCATGAGTTTGAATGTGAGCTCCAGGAGAGCAGCTGCTTGGAAGCCACAGGCTGCCTGAACAAATGGGGGAAATAGCAGCCAGCAACCCCCATAGTGCCTGGGGCATCTGTCCTTCCCTTCCTGTCCTAGTGGACCTCCTCTGCTCAGTGCACTGGTCAGCCCTGGGACTTTGCTCTGGGCAGCCTTCCCTGACCCTCCTGCACTGGGTAGAGCCCTCTCCTCCCTGTCCCCATAGCTCCTCAGGGGTGACGTCTGTGTCACTTCTCACAGCAGACTGCAACTATAGGGTTCCATGTGTCTCCCACAGAGCTGTCCTGGAGGGCCACTGTCTAATCCTGCACCCCACCCCCAATGTAGCTTCCAATCTAGAGCCCTTGGTGCTTATTGGCCAGAACTAAGTATAGAGCACACTGTGGAGAAATGGACTCAACCCACTACTGTTATAGATGGACCAACAGGCCCAAGAGGCTGGGTGGCTTGCTCAGGATCACCAGTAAGTTAACACAGAACAGCACCCTGCCGAAGGAAGCACACCCCATACCCCTTCCCTTGTCCAGTGATAATGTCAACCCTCCCTGTCTTGTGGCCTGTACTCCTCACGGCTTACCTCAGCCTGCTGCCTCTGACCCAGCCAGAGGAGAGCACATGTTTCTCAACCCCTGTGGACCTTAACACACTGCTCCCTCGGGCTGGTTCTTCCTGCCCTCCCCTCACCTCGCTCACCTCTCTCATTCTTAGAGACCAGACTGCTCTCTGCTGAGAAACCTTCCCTGACCACAAGCAGGTGGTGGCACCTCTGCTACTAGCCACCTCCATCATCTCATTTAGCATAGCACCCCTCCTCCAAGCTGTGGGCTTCTCTCACCTGGATCTTTGTCTTATGCACATGGTACATGGCATTTGGCAGGTGGGAGAGGTTGCCTAGTCAACTGCTACTCACTGACCAGCCTGCCTCACTTCCACACTGGGCGTGCAGTCAGAGGTCTTGCTCAGAGCTTCTGCACCCTTATCCTCAGCTCTGGTAAACTTTTCTGTCCCCCTCTACCTCTGCAGTGGTAGCCACTCTTCCATGGACCCAGGCCTTTTGAATACCTATTTTCTCTAATTTGGAATCCCTCAAGTCTCTGAGTCCTCTGGGTCTAGGACATTTGCCTGCTGGGATGACAGACATTTAAAAAGGGGACCTGGGGAAGGAACAGCGTTCACTGCAAGGAAGTGAAGCACTCATGCTAGAGTTGTAGGCTGCCTTGGGCCCCGCACCGAGTGATTTCCACAGGCAGGCCTGGGGGCTGTGCTCAGTCCCTCAGACTCACTGAGGGAGTGAGCCTGTGGGCTTATAGAGGCCCGGCTTAGAATCTGTTTGCTTAACACAGTCCAGGAGACAGATGCCTACCCAGATGGAAGGCGAGGCATGGCTTTGGCCTGTCCTAAAGGCTTGGCTGCCCAGTCCTCCCAAGTCTGTGGCCTGCTGGTGTTTGTTAATGCTAAGCAGAGCATAAACCAACCTTTGCCTTCCCTGGTATCTCTTATGTGGGGAGCGCAAAGGTTTCCTTACTTTGCCTAATAATGAAACAACAGATAAGACATAAAAGGAGTACACTGCCCAGCAGTACATAACCATGAAACATTTTAAGGTGTGCCCTGAAACTAGCTCAAGGGAGTCCCAAGGGTACTGGTTGGTGACGAAAGTGCTCAAGAACCTTCTCTTCCACGGCCCCTGGGTGGCTCAGTTGGTTAAGCATCTGACTCTTGATTTTGGCTCAGGTCATGATCTCAAGGCTGTGAGATCTAGCCCTGCATTGGTTTCCACGCTGGGTGTGGAGCCGCTTAAAGTTCTCCCTCTCCACCTCCTTCCCCACTCACTCTCGTGCTCTCTAAAAAACAAAACAAAACACTTCCCTCTACTGAGAGAGAGCTGGGACTGCCACAGAGGAAGTGTTACCATTGGTGAAGACCTTCTACGTGCCAGATGACCACCTGCAGGCCCTATACCCCCATCAACATGTGGGCGGAGGTTTCACCATCCTCACTTTATAGGTCAGGAATCAAAGGCTCAGAGAGATGAAACAAATTGCCTGGGGTCCCACAGCAAAGAAATGGCAGAGCAGAAATTACCAGGGAATCTAACAAGAATGTTCCAGCTTGCCAGGACAAGAAGCTCAGGGTCAAATAGAACATAACAAGTTGGGAAATTTGCCCAAAGTGCAGACTAGTTTGTCAGGCTTCTGGAGGGCCAGAAGGCCTCTCTGGGCCCAAGCTTTTGCTACAGGTGCCACCCCAGGGTAGGGAGTCGTGATGGGGGCAGGCGCCAGGTATCCGGTTCTGGCTGCACCACTCACTACCAGCTGCTCGCACTGCTACAGGGGCAGAACGAGGCAGTGTCGAGGACAGCTGGCCCTTAGAAACCCTGGAGTGTGCTGCTTTGTGGCCGAAGTTAAAGTCAGTGAAAAAGACATTGGCTCCCTCCACTGCTTCTCTCTGAGCCTGCTCTTCTCATCCATGTCATGACCCTAATCACTCCAGGCTGTGTGGACTGCATGGTAAAGTGCCTGCCAGTCCACAGCCTCTGGAGCTCAGGACAGGGTGGGGTCCTCGGCCTCAGTCAGTGTAGGGCTCAGTCTGAGGATGCAAGACAGAGGCCCTAGCGGGAGGGTGGGGATAGTCTGGGTAAGGACACAGCAAAGTGAAACAGCCCTGGGCCCTGCCTCAGCCACACCTTGGTTCCCCACTGAGCAACCTTCACATTTGCCCTCTCCTTTTGGAGAACCCGCACAAACCTCCTAACCCTCAACAGCCCTTCACGGAGGCTTGTAGCTATCCTCCTCCGTGATCCTGGCCTTGCATTGACCTTAGTAGCACCACTCGCATAAACGGTAACGTGTTAGAGGCCAGGCTAAAGTCCCCTTTGGCCACCACCACCTGTACTCCAGCTCCTGTCCTGCGCCCCAGGGCTCATCCACTGTTACCACTTTGGCTGGGCCCTTCCAGATGGCCTTCTATCCTTTATGTTTGTGTATATGCTCCTCTTCTCTCCTCTCCAGAAGGACAGACAGAAGTGGGCACCCCAGACAAGGAAGCTAGTAACCAGCCCGAGAGCAGCGATGGGACCACCTCGTCTTGAGTCGGACTTTGCCCATGGAGGATGGAAAAGAGACCTGCTGTCCTCACCGGGACAGGGAGCCCTGGCACTGGCCTGGCAGTCTCTTCTCTGAGCCCCTGTCCCAGGCAGGCCAGGCCAGAGTGAAAAGGCACCCCCAGAGGCCACCGTGGCCCCTGCCCTGGCCAAGCCCTCCACCTGCACCCTCAGGCTGCACTGGCCCACCTCCTCCTCACTGTGCCCAGGTACACCTTCGAGGCCCTGTAGCTGTGGGGTGTTATTTATTCAGCAGGCATCTGAGTGAGCAGCCCCCTCAAGAACGCATCTCCACAGGTGGCCTGGGCAACAGCCACAGCCCAGCTCTGCCCCCCTCTCCAAGCCCAACCTTCTGGGTCAAGATCTTCACATCCCTTTTTTAAAAAACACTTTTAAACTTTTTAAAAACTTTAAACCTTTTTTCAGCAGAGAGGGAGAGAGCTGGCTTTTTTGGGGGGTGGGGGGCAGGGGAGGCATTATAAGCTAAACTGACCTTCTATGCAGCTCTGCATCCTCTCATGGAGCTCCACAGATCCATTTATAGGGAAGGGGTTTTGTGCTCAAAACTGACCAACTCTGCCCTTTCTACCAAGATAAGTGACACCTAGGACCCAGGAAATAAATGCTGATGATTTGTGTGACTGGTTTACAATTTCTCCTTTAAACAGCAAAAGTAGGGGTGGGCCTGGTTTTCCCAAGTCTGCAGTTAGCTGGGATCCGTCACTGCCCTGGGCTTCAGTGCAGGAAGTACCTGAGAAGAGGTCAGTCTTCCAGAGCCTGGCACTCTTCTTGGCCTGGTGCCTGATGAGTCTTCTTCCAGCTGTCCCTCTCACTCACCCCAGTCCACAATTCAATTTGCCCACATGGACAGGCCCAGCCCTTAAAACCTACAGTGGGAGGGGGCTAAGAGGGAGCATTTAAGCAGACTCACTCTTCAAGAGAAGCTTTGTTTCTTCTGGAGGGAGGACAGACTATGGTCCCGTCTTTGCCCCCGGCCTTAGAAGCTCTAGCCTCCTCGTCACAGCCTCCACACCAGATCTCAGGACCCGCCACTGAGCAGGCTGCCCAAGTCTGGGAGCCCAGAGACTCCTTCTGTTCTCACTCTGCCCAAAACCACAGTTGCTGCACAATACCAGCCATTGGCTTCTTTATTGAGCACCAGATTTTCAGCATGTGTCACTATAGGAGGGAGGTTTCAGATTCAACCAGACTCTGGCCCGTAGTCAGGAGAGATGTGGTATGCCAAGGTATTCCTGTGTATAGAAACAGGCACATGGCTTCAAGAGCAGCAGAAGTTGACTATGGGCATCATCGTCTTCCTTGAAAGAGTAAAGGTAAGTGTCGTTCAACCCCAGAGAATTGAGGAGGCTCCATCCACAGGGGGAGGGCTTGGAGAGGTGGCCATGATGTCTTCAGGGATGCTGCCCTGCTTGACAGGTCAGAGACACAAAGGTTAGCACCTGCCAATACCCAGGATGTAGAAGATTCCCAGAACATCAGAGCAAGAGAGGAACCCTTTTCTGCAGATGGGAAGACTAAGGCTTAGAGCAAGGGAATGTTTTGCCAGCATCACACAGGAAGGCAGGAGAGGAACTGAGCACCTGGGCCCAGCTCCCCCACCCTTGGCTTTAGACAGACATGGAGATGACCCAGGTTGCCAAGACCTTTGAGACTGAGCTTTGGAAAATCTCCCCCGAGACCAGCCTAAAGATGGCATTAGAAGGTAAGGGGATCTAGTGAGGCACCATCAGCTAGAGCCACACAGCAAGGGAGGCCTCACACATCCTTAGTGCTGTCTGAGAGAAAGGGAGGGCTTCTTGTAGGAAATGCCACAGAAAGCCAGGCTGCAGCCCAGGCAAATCAACAGCCCAGAAGCTCAGCCAGGAACATACCTGCAGCATCCAAAGATGGCATCCCATAGGCTTTATAGAGCAGATCAAGAAGCTGCTTCTTTTCATCTTCTGGGAGGAAACTAGACTTTGCCGCATTGATGTTCTAGAAGGGCCAGAATGGCAGATAATATGAAATCAGAGAGCATGGAGGAAAGCCCTTGGCAATCGAGTGATGAGCCATCCTCTTCAATGAGCATGAGCAATTGATTAAGCATAGAGTGGGGAAGGACGTGTCCGGTGTCACATGGCAGCAAGTGCCAGAGCAGAGACCATGAGGTTCAGTGTTCTTAAAGTGATGACACACTTTAAGACATGACACCATGATGGGAGAAGGAAGTTGGAGAAATTGGGAGACTGGGTGGGATATGTGGGGCCAGAGATTCCTGCAGGGACAGATTTGGGGTATCAAAACTCCTAAAATCAAGGGCTCAGCCTGGCATCTATGAATGGCCTGAGCAGTGTGTATAGAATTTTATAGCTGAGCACACCTTTCCGGAGAAAGAGTCGACAGCTTTTAAAGGAATCTTTGCGGGCACTCCATGCAAGCAAAGCCAGAAAAACCTGGTCCTAGCTCGGCATGCCAGTCTGAGAGCTTGTCCATAGAAGCCACCTGACTCTAGGTCTGGCTTGGCTTGGCCCAGTGAGGCAAACTCCCCCCTGATCTCCAGAGGTTGCAGGCCCTGGCCAAGGCCTGCAGGCCTCACACACAGGGCTGGGTCAAGGCCCTCAGGACTCACGGCCACTCACCACTCTCTTAAACTCCTCCTCGGTAAAGTCCATGCCCCGTTTGGTCATTTGGTAATCCGTTTCCAGGGTGGACTTGAAGATGAGTGGGTCATCCGTGTTGAGTGAGTAGTTAGCCTGGTCATTTTTGAGCCTGGATATGGGGGTGAGGGAAGAGCCACCTGTGTTCACTTACTCCAGTGAATAGTCACCGCAGCCTTAAGCCTTGCAGCACCCCCCCACCCACCCTGCTGCTTGCTGTACAGGGGAAGAAAATTCACAGAACTCGGGTGATTTGCACGATGCCACGTAACTAGCATCTTCAGACTTGAACCCCTCTGAGTGGGCCAGAGCCAGGCAAAGGCAGAAGAGGAACAGGTGGAACGGGGGCCTGGGGAGGCCAAACAAGCAGCCCTCCCCCCTCAGTTACCTCCCTCTCTAGCCTTCACCTTCATAGCCGACATCCTGGGAGAGTCGTCTGTTCCCCTTTCACCCTCAATCCCACTGGGATGGACTCTTCAACCACCACCCCATGGAAAGGGCTCCTGGCACAAGCCCAGATCACCACCCTCTGTTGAAGCGCAGTGGCTCTTACTCGACTTGTGTCTCAGGATTTTATACTGTCGGCTATTCTTAAAACCCTTTCTCTGGATTTCTCAGGCCAGTATCTTCTGTCTGTCCCCTTCAGTGTCACTGTCCTGGGTTCTCTCCTAGGCCCTCTCGCTCCATCCACCATCTCCTGAGGCTGTCACTTATCCAACCACCATATCTGTGTAGCTGATTTGTGAATCTTTCTCCAGCCCACAGGCTGTATCCCCATGTGCCGGGCTTTGCAGGTACTACACACTCCCCCTCCCGAAGCCAGCCGGCCTTAGGAACCCCGTAATTAAAACATCAGAGCCCTTGCTCCTTATCCTGTGTCAGGGAAGGGTGGCTTTGCCCTCCTGAGGCTGAGGCCACTCCCAGGGCTCAGTCACAAAACAGCTGGAAGAAGGACCAAGGCCTCTAGTTTGATGGTGGATCAGGAGCAGAGTGGAGCACTCAGAGGTGCCAGGAGAAGGGACCACATGAACTAGAGAGACTCCTCTTCCAGATGCCCAGGAGACGGAATCTAGAAGCATGGAAGCCCCCCTTCTTTTTTTTTTTTTATTTTATTATTATTATTTTTTTTTGGAAGCCCCCCTTCTGACTGAAGAGTGCACGAGTGAGAGGGCCCCCAGTCCTGCCATTTAGGAGCTGGGCTACCTCACGTCACAGCACATCAAGCTTTGGCCTCCTTGTTTGTAAGTGGAGGACAGCAGCACCTGCTTCCCAAGGACTTGAAGAGATTTCCTAACAAGAGGCCCCACCCAGGCCAGTGCCAGTCCCTGTACTTCCCTCCTGCCCTTGGCTTTGCTGGTACAGAACTGAACGGGCCCCAGGGACTGGGCCTCACCGAACCACCGCGTGCTCTGTGTCCGACTTCCAGGCGCCTGTAAGGTAGCTGGACCAGGGGCAGATCTGGAAGAGCAGGTGGGTGGCTGGCACGGGGACCCCCGCCCCTCTGTGCCCCAGGCCGGAGCCACCTACTCTGACACCGTTCTTGCTGCAGCCACACTGGCCTCCCAGCTGCTGAGTCCTGTGAACCCCCTCCTGGCACCTCCACCACCTGGCTGCTCTAACGCCCCCTGCCCATTCCTACCACGCTGGCCCCGCTTCTTTAGCTCCCGGGGCCCTCTGGGCTCTCCACCCCCTTCCTCCTGGCTCCCTGGCCACTCACCTCGAAGTGCATGTTTTCCTGCCGCAGCCTGGCATAAAGGGCCTCGTCCTCCAGCGTGTGGTAGCCGTGGCCCAGCCTCTCCGTCTTGAGCGTGTCCACAGCCTGCAGAGAAGTGGAGTAGAGCCCAGTACGAGGTGGGGACGAAGTGGGGGGGGGGGGCACACCAGCCCAGTGACCTCACCTCTTTGACCACCTCCGCTGAGCCCACCTCCCCTGCGTGCACAGTGCGGTGGATGCCTCTCTTCACAGCCTCCTGGAAGGGCAAGAGCTGGTCACAGGCGGCCTGGGCGCCCCCCCCGCCCCCAACAGGCCCAGCCTTCACCACACTTTGGGTCTAAGCTTTGGCAGGCTTAAACCATGCCCAGTCAGCTGGCTTGCTTCAAGATAGGGAAGTTGAGGTTTTTGTGTCATCCTAATTCAAGTGGTAGCTACCATTTATTAGTTTTATGGGTCCATCATCATATGAAAGGGCTTGTATGTGTTACCTAATATCCACAAATATTCTAATACCCATTTCACAAGAGGAGAAACAGGCCCAGGAAAGTAAGAAGACAAACAGCTGGGAAGAGGGGAGTCAAGCTCTGAGACTCCAGAGCCCCATTCTAAAGCCTGTGCTTTGGCCACAGGAAGCACATTGTGAAGCTTTGAGATGTCTGCTCCAATTCTGTCATCCCAATAGATGAAAGAGAAGCCCAGAGAAGGGATAGTCTCCCCAAGGTCACACAGCAAGTTACAGGCAGAAACGGGCTCAGAACTCCCAACACCAAGTGGGATCTCCTGTGTATACCAAATCTCCAATTTTCAGCACCGCCAGGACCCAACTAAGGTGCACTTGAGAATGGAGGCGGCCTCCCTCTCCCCAGGGCTCTCCCTCCAGGGTGGAAAGGCGCTCCTGTGGCAGGGGCACACGCAGGGGCAGCCCCTCCTGCCTCCTCCTCCACACCGGACCTACCTCATAGGCCTTCACGTGTCCCGGGAAGAGACTGCTCCCTTTAATGGTCTCGTCTCCTGCCAGGTCGATGGCCACCACAGTCTGCTGGTACTTCTGACACAGCTCCACCACCTCCAGGGACCAGTCTGTGGGCAAGATGCCCACCGGCCTCTGTTGGCAGCTCCGAGGAGAGAAGCCCCCCAACCTCCCCTGCTCACTGTCCCCTGACCTGAGGCCAGTGCAAGGCGAGGGGCCCGGATGTCTTCACATCCTAATGGCCATGGCCTAAGCACATGGCCTTCAGCAAACTGTTCCATCGGGGCCTCAGAGTTTCCTCACTTGATCCCACAGCAGCCCTCAAGCGGGGCATAACCCCACTTGGCAGGGAGGAGACAGAGGCCGCCTGCCGTTTCACATTTAAGCCCCCAATAGAACTCACGCTACAGTTACTGAACGATTGCAACGTACTCTGTCTCTAACCAATCAAGTCATCGTGAAGTGTTTAAGAACGGACAGTCATAGGCTTTGGAACCAGAGGCCGCACCTCCCTCAGCCTCAGCTCCCCCACCCAGCAATGGCAGGCCCGCCTCACACACAGGCTGCGGCCAGGATCAGAGGAGAGACACGAAGTCACCCAGGTAGGCCCCTAGGTGGGCGTGAACCCTGTGGCTCACACTGTCCCCTAGAGCAGGGAATGAGTACCATCCCTGCCTGCGACGTGTATCTGGGGTCTGAAGAGGTGAGGGGCCAGTCACCTTGGAAGCTGGGGCTCTGGACATCTGATCAGTGTCAGCCACAGGCGAGACTCCTTAGAAGCCCCGGATATCAGGCTACTCACAGGCCCGTGGCCGAGACAGGAGGCGGCCAGGCCCACAGGGTCTCAAGGGAGGACGGGCTCATCAGAACGTGGCTTAGATGGGGGTTTTTCTACTGTTCAGTTTCCTTTGTTTTTATGCTTCCTGCATGCAGGTCACGCGGCTGTCAGGCCTGGTCTCCCTGGGTAGAAGGGTCTCTCTGTCGCCAGGAGTTCTGAGCTTGCCCAGGGGAAGCTCCAAAGACTTCCGGAAGCCCCAAGCCTGCTGGTGGGCTCCACAAAGACCATGGGGTTGGGGGCATGGGGAGACCAGATGTGGCTCCAGTGCCAGACCAGAAGGCAGGGGCCAGTGTCAGAGGGCAGCCCGGGGCAGGGCTGAGGGTGTACTCACTGGGCTGGTGGCGCAGGCAGCACAGGATGGACCTCACTTTCACCTTGAAGTCCCGTTCTCCCTCCTGCAGGCTCTGGCTCACCAGGGCCACCACCTCATCCGGGGTGAGGTCCCCTCTGTGTAGGGAGAGGAGTAGGGATGGGCCAGGGATAAAGGAAGGGCTGAAGGACAGCCCTGGGCCTGGGACGTGGGCTTTGGGGAGGGGCAGAGAAAGAAGATGCTTCCAGAAGCAGCTCCACCCCGTACCAACCCACTGCCTCTTAGAAAAGACATGGTCCCAGGTCCCAGCACGCCCCCTTCCAGCTGGGGAGTCCAGACACAGCCCTGGCCCTCGGATGGAGGGCACTGCTAAGCCCGCCTGGCCTGCTTCCGGCTCATCCAGCGCTATCAGAGTCCTAGCGGGAGGGGGGCAGGGGGCCGAGTGATACCACTGCGAGATCTCTGCGGTCCAGGCAGAGGGCGGGAATGGGCTGCCCTCCCCTCAGCTACAGGGTTAGAACGGGACACACAGAAGTCCCTGGACAAGGGGACCCCTAGACTGTGGGCTCGTGTCCAGGACAAGGGGGGCAGGTAAGACATTGCCACACATGTTTTCCAAAGGTAAAAAAACTAAAAATAAAAAAAATAAGCCCAGCTGAGGGCTGAGAACCAGGTCTCTTATGACAGAATTAAACCCATCTTTCTGAGGCCACAGTCAGGACCAGGGAGCAAGATTAGGTCAGAGGCTCTGCCCATGGGGTCTCGGGTCAGGCCACCCCACCACAGCCCTGGAACGCCCCCTCCAGGCAGCACTCACTCAGGCTGGTTCCAGGGGATCGGCTCCACTTTACAGTTGGCCAGCAGGTGCGGGCTGTAGCGCACCTCCACGTACACCACACCCTCCTTGGCCTTCCTCTCGACGAACTCGTAGGCGATCCTTTTGATGGCCTCCCGGGAGCCCCTGGGAAGGGAAGACGGGTTGGGGACAAGCTTCCCCGAGTCCCTTGGGAGCTCCGGGAGCAACAAGGCTGCCCCAACCCTTGGCAGATCAAACCCCCTTTGGCCCCCCAGCCCCAAGTTCCAGGTATCTGCTGGAGAAGATCCTAGAAACATGGCAGGTCCTGTCAGCTCTACCTCCAAACTACATGCCAATTCTTGCCCCCTCCACTCTAACCGCCGCCTACACGGACCTCCCGGGCGCCACGCTTGCCCCTACAACTGTTTTCCACACAGCAGTACAGCAGTCTTTTTAAAATGTGAATCAAACCACAGTGCTCCTGCGCTCTGAACCCTAGTGGCTTCCTACCTCACAAAATGACATCTCAGTTCCGTGGCCCCTGTCACTCTCCCCTAACCTTCCTTCTGACTCATTCCATGAGGCCACCAGAGCCTTCTTTCTGTCCAAGGAACAATCCAAGCTCCTTCCCATGTCAGGGCCTTTGTGTTTGCAGCTCCAGCCTGCATGGCTCTTCCCCTCTGGGTCATCCTAGGCTCCTTCTCTCCATTTAGGGCCAGCTCCACCTGGCCTCCTCAGAGAGCCCTTCGGACCACCTTGCCTTGAAAGGACTCCTCTGCCATGGCCTACCTGTTCCCCGAGGCTTCACCGCCAGGGCGCTTACCCTGACTTGACATTCTTACCACATGGCTTGTCAGTTATTTTGTATCCCCCCTACTAGAATGTAGTTTCTGTGAGACAAGGGTCCTGTCATGGTCTGGTCATGGCTAGGACCCCTCAGCCCAGGACAGAGCCTAGGATGCAGCGGCCACTCAGATGTTTGTTGAGTGATGGGTGTAGGTCAGCAGGGGAGAGAAATCAAAGAACACACACAGGCAACACACACACAAAAAGATAAGTGGGATTGCATCAAACAAAAGCATACAAGGGGGACCTTCAATAGGGTGAAAAGGCAACCTACTGAGTGGGGAGAAAATATCTACAAATCCTACCTGATGAGGGGCTAACATCAAAGCTACGAGGAACTTCTCCCGCTCAATAGCAAAAATACCAAATAATCTAATTTTTTAAATGGGCAAAGGACCGGAATCAACATTTCTCAAAAGGCATGCAAAAGGCTAACAGTTTTATGTAAAGATGCTCAACATCACTACTCATCAGGGAAATGCAAAATTGGAACCACAGGGACAGATCACCTCACACCTGTCAGGGTGGCTGCTATCTACAAGTGTGGGCGAGGATGCAGAGGAAGGGGGCCCCTCATGGGCTGTTGGCGGGAATGCAAATGTGTGCAGCCACTCTAGATGACAGTGGTGGTGGCTCAAGAAAACTTTTAAAAAGTTACCTGAGGATCCAGCCATCCTATTTCCAGACCTTTATCCAAAGGAAACGAAGTCAGCATCTCAAAGAGATACCTGCACCATAATGTTCACTGCGGCATTATTTATAATTGCCAAGACATGGTTACAACCTAAAGGTCCATCGACAGATGAATGGATAAAGAAAATGTGCTACACACACACACACACACACACACACAGAGTAAATATTGTTCCACCTTAAGGCAATTCAGGCATGTGCAACATAGATGAACCTGGATGACACTACGCTAAGTGAAGTAAGCCAGACACAGAAAAACAAATACATGATCTCACTTGCATGTGGAATCTAAAACAGCCCAACTCATAAAAGCAGAGAGTAGAACAGTAGTTGTCAGGAGCATGTTGAACAGGGAAGGGGGGGAATGGGAGATGTTGGTCAAAAGGCACAAAGTGTCAGTTCTACAAGATGAGGTAAGTTCTGGAGATCTAATGTTCAGCACGGCGACCACAGTTAACAGTACTGTAACATATACTTGAGATTTGCTAGGAGGGGAGATCTCAAGTGTTCCCACCAATTCTACCCCAATAAAATTAAAAGAGAGAGAGAGGAAAGGACACAGATGGACAAATCCAGAGAGTACCTGGGGTGGTGGAGAAACCAGCGACTTGTGAATCCTGATTCCCACACTTACCTGTTGCATGACTCTGGTTAGTCACCCTGACATTTACCGTCATATGTGACTGTGAGGACAAATATGTTAAACTTCATAAAACTCATCTAGGCCAGGGCTTGGAATAGAACAGATACTTGAAGTATTTTAGTTGTTGAGTGTTGGCTCTAGAAGCAAGGCACACATTCACCTGCCAGGGCTGCTCTAAGCGGTGATCAAGTGACAGTGAACTATACCTAGCTGGAAGTTTCCACCATGAAGAGTGAACACAGAATGGTCACCAGAATGCACCAGAAATTGGCCACCCTGGGAAAAGGGTCATTGCAAGTACCATGCTTTTAAAAAGAAAGAAAACAAAAGCTACTGGAGGGGGAGGAGTGGGGAGAAAGTACCATGCTTTTGAGGATGAGGATGGGCAGCCACTACCTTTCCCAGTGGGCAGGGGCAGGGCCTGGATCTAGGACCTCGGACCTGCTGCAGGGGAGCTGGCCACCCAGGAGGAGGGTGCCCTATCACCCCCACGGCTGTTGGAACACATTCATTCCACGCTATGACCAGCACTGGGGATACAGCAAACAAGGCAGACAAAATCCCTGTCCTCACGGAGCCTACAGTTTAGTAGGAGAGCCAGGTAAGTGAGTAAAACATACCATCTATAGTAGGTAGTTGGTGAAATGGTCTAAGGATACACATAAAACGGGAGGGGACTACGATTTTCAGCAGTACAGCCAGGGAGGACCTCACTGAAAAAACCTGAGCAGCCCTGAGGAGGAGGCGAGGAAGCTAACTACAGGGCATCTATGGGGAACAACATTCCAGGCAGAGGGAACAGCATGCACAGAGGACCTGAGGTTGGCAATGTGCTTGTTGCCCCAGGTGCCACAGGAGGCCCAAGTGCTGGGAGAGAAGTGAGAAGTGTAAGGGCAGAAGATGAAGGTTCTCATCTAACACCTGTGGATGGTGACAAGTGGTGGGGACATTAGTTTTGTGGGCCCCAGCCCCAAAGGCCAAGCAACTTGGAAGGAGATGATGCCAAACAGCCTGGTCATCTTGGGCCTTCAGGGAGCTAGGCATATTCTGTTTTGTGGCCGAGGACAGGAGCTGCCTTGGGGGTGATGTGGGAGAGGTGCCTGGGCCTGCTCAGGAGCTCCACCCATCCGTATGTTCTGGTGTGGGGGTGCCAGGGGAGATATGACAGGTGCCTCCAGAAGGTACATGCCTCGCTGCATCTGCTGACCAGGACCGGGATGGGGCCAGTTGGTGTTTCCCAGGCTGAGTCCACAAGCTTCCAGCAAGCAGCCTTGGCACACATCTTCCTTCCTCAGAATTCCTCACACCTGCCCATCTCTATTTATCTACTCAAGGGCCTCCATCCGCCTCACAGACCTCCTTCACTAGTCTCCCAACAACCCATACTTGGCACGTGCTCCAAACTTTTCTTAGGTCTAGCCCTCTGGACCACATCATACCTTCTCAATCCCAAAGTCTGGGCCACGCTTCCTCCTCCAGGCAGCTTTCCCTAACTGCCTCCAGCCCATTTGCCTCTTCTCCTCCCAAGCTCTGGCAGCACAGACTGCAGAGGCCTGCCCCACCTGGCCTGGGGAACATTGCCTGAGAGGGACAGCGCCAGGAAGCCCAAGGTGGCCTCAGGGCAGGATGTGGGTTTCACCCCTTGCAGCTGTGTGGTCCTGGGCATGCTCCTACAATCCCCTGAGCCTGCATATCCTCTCTGCAAATGGGGAGCATGTCCCATAACAGGACTGTTGACAACTACAAAGTATAGTTGTGTGAGCTGCACACGTATTCTAGATCTAAGATATTCTGTTACAAGAAGAAGGAACAGAAGGTAATATAAAAACACCTGGGCCTGGCTATCAATAAAGAGGGAGCTTGTGGAGGACAGAGCTGTGTCCAGGCCAAGCTCCAGCCCCAGGAGGTAGATAGGATCACAAGCCCCATTGTCTAGATGAGGGAACAGAGGCCCAGAGAAGCTAAGTTTTCCCAACGTGACAGTTATTTCCTGAAAGACTTGGGCACTAGGATGTGGGCTCTTGACCTCACACTCTGTCGCTTTCCTGTAGAAGTTGAAGAAATTTCAAGACGTTATACCCACTTTCCAGAAGGAGAAAATGAAGACCCACAAGGTATGGGTAGAGTCAGCACATGTATACACGGGGATAAGCAGCAGAGCTGGGGTCTCAGAGAACCTTCTCCCACCCCACAGGGGGAGGTGCAGGCACAGGGTCGCCGCACAGGGTCTGGGGTCGGAGGTTGACTCACGCGATGGTGGGCATGTAGTAGTTAAACTTGGCCAGGAAGCTGGGGAAGCTGAGCGGCTTGTCCGTGCACAGGATGTCCTGCAGCTCCTCTACGGTCTCGGCAGGGAGGGCAATCCCCCTCTTCCTGCGAACAAAGCAGTGAGGGCAGCTGAGGACGGGATCCGACTAACTCCTCACCGGGACCAGAGCAGGACACCCGGGATCACTTCATCCAGCTCCTCCCATTGAACAGACAGGAAGACAGAGGCCTGGGGCATAGAGACCCCAGACTGGAAACCTTCCAGCATCTCCTATCCCCAAGGCCGTGACCAGCCAGGGACTGTTGGGGGGTGGGGGGGTAACTGTGGTTAAAGTCTGCAACGTACGCACACGTGCACACACGCACACCCCTGCTCCTGGGAACAGGGAAGCTGCCAGGGAAGTCCACAGTTTCCAGCATCGGGCAGGGCCAGCTGGTCGGCCAGGTCAGGGGTTATCAGGGCAGTTACTGCAGCACCACAATGCCCAGGGCAGGGGCAGGCACCAGACTTCCCTCCTCCGCCCTCCAGCCAGCACATCAGGGAGGGAGAGGGTGGGTGCGGGCTCCTGGGAGGGTGCTCCCCGGCGTCACCTAGGGGCTTCTGCTGCCCCAGCCCCGTACGGGGCTTGCCCAGGCCGGCCCCCCTGGTCCGGAGCCTCCTCGCAGCCGGGGCGACACCCGGCCTGCCTCCTCTGCCACCACCCGCAGGTCACCCAGGGCCTCGGGCTTCCCACTTTGAAGGTAAAAGGGGCAGGTGAGGAACACCAGACAGGCAAGAAAGGCTTCTCCCAGAAAGAACTCTGAGGAAACCACGCCAGGAACAGAAGAAAACCCGAAACCCCTACCGCGGGGCGCCTCACGGACTGGAGAAGAGGTTACGTCCCTGAAATAGAACACCCCTTTCAGAAAGGGGGTCCCCGAGACGAAGAAATCGAAACCTAGAAGAATGCGGTGCCTTCATCAGGATGTAATAAAATGAACGGGCAATATAGTCCTCCAGCAAGTAGAACAAAAGAAGATTAAAAAAATAGCAAATGATTAAGGAAATTGGGTGATTAAATCAGGTTCCAACATCTGGTTTTCTACAAAGAACAGAAGATGGAAGGGAGGGGTCGCCAGGGAGATGGAAGTTTGACTAGTGTGTTTAAGTCTTTAATGACTTCAGTGGCCCAAATACTAAAAGGTTTCCCTCCATAAATGCCTGTCCCCTAAGCCCCCGACACAGGCCCTCCTCCCCTTCTGGTGGCCCAAGTCCCTAGGAGGGCCCCCAGCCTGCAGGACTCCCTGGGGCGGTCCTCGCGCTCCGTGCCCCCTGAGCGTCCCGTTGCTGGGCAGCCCGCCCCACGGCCCTCAGGAGGCCACCCCCCCCGCAGAGCCTCTCCGGCAAGGGCTGTGCTCTGGAGAGCTTTTGGGGAGCCGGCGGTAGAAGCAGACGAGGGCTCTGGTGCCCGCATCGTCCCCGCAGGGGCCACAGGGGGGTGGGCCTGCTGCACCTGCTGTGTGCCATCCTCCTGGTGGTCCCCCGCCAGCGACCTCCACCACCGCTGCCTGGCGGGGCTCTTCCTCCTGGCCATTCTTTCAGACTCTCCCTCTTACACCCCTGCCCAAGGAACTCCTCCTTTTCAGCCCAAGATCCAGAGGCCTCTACCACTACACACCACCGTGTGAGGACCCACGATGTGCTGGCCACCGGACAGAGCAGTGACCAAGACAGACCCTGACCCCCCACCTCCTGCCACTTCTCCCCTCTGCCCCCATGTTTCCAAATCTAGCCCCACCATCCCCCCCAGCTCCCCAACCCATGGAAGGGCCTCACCCCCACACAAACACTCAAACCCCAGCTCCAACGGCCTCACCCACCACCAGCCAGTCCCCAAGTCCCACTTATTCTACTTCCCAAATGTCTGTCCCACTGGTCCCACCTTCTCCAGCCTGTCTCCTCGACAGCCGCCCAGAGATCTTTTGCCACCCAGAGCGGTCTGGGAAGGCTGGGCCGAGGAGCGGATATTTAGAGCAGAAATAAGAGAGAGGAGGGAACAGAGGAGGCTCCAGGCAGAAGCCAGGAGAGGAGGAGAGGGCAGGGCAGCCGGAGTTCCCAGGGGGGTCAGTGGTAGGTGATGAGCCAGAGGGCAGGCGGGGATTTATCCCCCAAAGCACCAGGAAGCCACCGAAGGATTTCAAGCAGGGGAACAGCGTGAAGAGATTTACTTCAAGAGCTTCTGGCTGAGCGTGGGTAACAGATCCAAGAGCTGCTGCAGGGGTCCCGGCCCAAAACAAGCAGATCCTCTTCTGGATCTCACGCAGGCCTGGGCCTCCGGAAGCCGCTCAGACCGAGCTGTAAAGCTCTTGTCTGGGACCCACAGTTGAGGCAAGGAGTTTTCCCTAGGACCCCCTGCCACCCCAGCCACGGGGCAGCAGAGCTGGGACAGCGCTTGCTTCTTGGACGCTCCCTACGCCCCCAGTCAGCCAGGCCCTGGCCAGTCCTCCTCTTGCTGTGGTGGGCGATGTGCCTACAGGGAGCCCGCCGCAGAGAGCCCCAGGCTCAGGAGCTCGAGGTCCATCTCCCTGCTGCGTGTATGGACACCCAGGAGCTGTCCCACCCGAGGACCTCCATGTCCTCGTCAGTAGCACAGATGGTGCTTTCTTTGGAGCATCCAGAGAAGAAGAAATGAGGTGGTTTATGTGCCCAGGGTAAGGCCGCCAACTCCAAAGCCTGACGGACTGGTTTTGAAAAGGTGCAAGATGTGTATGATCTAAAAAGAAACCAGAGTATTGGACTGGTTTCGAATCCCAGCTGCATTTTTTTTTAAGATTTATTTATTTATTCATGACAGACATAGAGAGAGAGGCAGAGACACAGGCAGAGAGAGAAGCAGGCTCCATGCAGGGAGCCTGATGTGGGACTCAATCCCGGGTCTCCAGGATCACGCCCTGGGCTAAAGGCAGGTGCTAAACCACTGAGCCACCCAGGGATCACCCCCCCCCCCCAGCTGCGTTTGTTAAAGGCTGTGTGACCTTGAGAGACTGACTCACCTTCTCTGTTTACTAGGTCTGGCAGGATTGAGAAACCTCCAGTGCAGACTAAGGAGAAGGGGGCAGAGAGGTAACACAGCCCTTGCACGTCTTTAAGGGGCATGGATGGACTTTGGCTTTGGCACGGAGCAAGCTGGGAGCGTGGGGAGAGTTTGAGCAGGGGAGGGACCAGTCAGACAAGGTTTTGACTACAGTACCGTGGGGACAGGAGATGGGGGGAGGCCAATCAGGAAGCCACTGCCATAGTCCAGGTGAAGGATGCTGGTGGCTCAGGCCAGAGTGGTGAAGGGAACGAGTGCCAAATCTAGAATGTTCTGTGGCCAAAGAGTTGACAGGCTCGTGAAGGAGATCGAGAGAGGTGCAGAAGCCCTGGAGAGGACTGAATCCTAGGAGCAGACAGAAGAAGTGAGTAGGTAAGAACACAGGCAACAGAGGCCCAAATCACAGAGGCAGAAGAGGGGCCACTGGATTTGGCTGACGGGGAGAGGGTCTTCCTTCCTTCTCTCAGCCCATCTCCACCAGGAAGTCCTCCAGTATGGTTAGGGCATCCATAGCTGAGTCTGACCAACTCCCTGGTCCCCTGCCCACTGACTTTGGGCTCAAACTCCACCTGGCATTCGTAATACCCCTGCCCTGAGGCCCGTCCAGGGCTCCGGAGGTGCCAAGGTCATGTGGGAAACAGAAAATGGACCAGCCTCCCCACAGGGGTGATTCCCCTCCCTCCTCTCTCCACCCTCTCCCGGACTCCGGCCTTCTTCCTCCACTAATAAGTGCTCTCTGACCCCTTAATGAGTACCCAAGATGAGATGCCATCATGGTGCTGGATAACCCGCCCCAACAGCCTCATTTGGGACTCTGAGACAGTGGCTGGCACTCAGCACAGGCAAAGGACAGGCAGAGATAAGCCAAGCAGCTTCACCTCACTTTGCCAGAGCCATAGTTTATAATTAATAGCATTATTAAGTGCCCTTATGGACACTGTGCCTAGCCCTGAGCTAAGTGTTCTCCAAACTGCTTCAGCTAAGCCTCTCGCTGGCAGTAGTAATGGGCAGGGGTGTGGACTCAGGCTCACACCCGTGCTTAGGAGATAAGTCCCTTCCTGGCGCCTGGGTGGCTAAGCAGCTAACCGTCTGTTTTTGGCTCAGGTCCTGATCTCAGGGTCCTGGGATGGAGTCCTGCATCGGGCTCCCGGCTCTGCAGGAAGCCTGCTTCTCCCTCTGCCTCTCTGTCTCTCTGCCTCTAACGAATAAATAAAATCTTAAAAAAAAAAAAAAAAAAAAAAAAAAGCAAGAGTTAAGTTCCCTCCTCCATAAAACAGAGGAGACAATAGTACCCCTCGCAAGTTGTCTTGAGGGGTCAGTACGGCAGCCGCAGTGCAGCGCCACGTGGCACGAGGCACACAGTAAATGCTAACAGATGACTTAGGAGAGATTCAAGAATTAAATCAATAGCAAGTCCCCAGGGAGAGGGAGGTCTGCAGAAGCAGGACAAAGCGGAGGACAGCGTTGTCAGAACTCAGACTCGGGGTTGGGAGAGATGCTCCTGAGGACTGAGGACGGACTGCCCAGCCTCACCAGTTCTGCAGAGTCGCAGTGTCTGGAGAACCCAGGGGACTCTGGCTTAGGGAGCAGGGTGCTCACATTCGGGTCTGGAGCTCAACTGCTCCAGGTGATGTGAGAGGTAGAGTCCTTCCAGCTCCAAGTGAGTGTCCAGCAAACACGTGAGGAGCATAGTCTGTGGGGGCAGAAGGGGCCCCGTCTCCTAGGTCAGCTCTGGGGGGAGGCCCTGTTTTTGTCCTCAAGCTACAGCCAAGGTGGCAGCCAGGAGACAGTGGGACCATATTTGAATATCTAGACCCGCTGACCTCTTAAGCCACCTGAGCAAGGGGCTGCCATGAGCTCTGGGGTGGGGAGGGAGGGGCTGGTGTCCCTCACTGGGGGGGGCACCGGGGGCCCTACAACCCCCTCGCATGCATGCAAGCCAAGCAGAAGGCACACTGTCCTGTGGAAGATGAAGACCGGCCCCCAGAGGAGGCACTGCCTGTCTACCTCCCCCAGTGGGCTATTGGCATGCAACACAGGGAAGACCTTGGAGATCCCGATGGCCCTGGGTCAGGTCTAGACTCTGCTGTTTATGGTCATGTGGCCTCAAGCAACTGCCTTCACTTTTTTTGAGCCCCCAGCTGTCCTCAGTGGGATGGGCATCGCAATGCTCTTCTCTGGGGAGGTATTAAATTTGCTGAGTCCAGGAGAGGGCTCAGCCCAGCAGCCCAGCACCAGGAGATGCGCAGCAAATGGTCCCGGTATCCCATGTAGGGGCATCGCCTCTGCCTAGGCTCTCTGCAGAGTCAAAACACAGCGATGGGTGCAGCCCTGAGGACTGCCTCCTCTCGTGTGTGCGTGTGCATGTGTGTGCTGTGAGCATGTATGCATGCAGACACCTGCATATAAGGGGGGTAAGCTCCTGGCTCACTCAGCAGCAGGAGGACATGAGTCAGAAGCATAGAAAGCAGAGGACGTGGGCTGTAAGTCTCCAGCTCAGAACTGAGGGGCCACTATTTCCCCACAGACCACCTTCTTCTGGCCTGGGGGGCTGGCTTCATTCCATGGAACAAACACCCTGGAATTCTCTGGAAACCTCTGGGTTGAACTGTGGACCCCCAAATGTCCCCAAACGGGAGGAAGGTCTCTTATCTGTGGACTTACCGGCTGAAGTATAAGATGGTTTCAGGCTTGATGGCCCCATCAAGGTGGACATGGAGCTCCACCTGCAAGAGGGCAGGGAGAGGAAATGGGGGGTTGGGTAGAGAACAAACAGCCATCAATGTCTGCAGGACCTTCCAGAGGGTTCATGTTCACAATGACCATGATAACCATTAGCCCCACTGACTGGACACTTAACCACATCCGCTCCCCAAACACACATCATCTTATTCCATCCTCATCTGTGGGGTGGGTTTAATGGCCCTCTCCCGCTCTCTCGCGGTTAAGACCACAGAGGTTCAACCATAGTTGAGTTTCAGGGAGGTTAAATAACTCGCCCCAGTTCACACACAAGCCACAGAGGCAGGAACCCAGCCCAATACCTCATTTCTTAACCACAGCTGGTAAACAGCAGAACCAGAACTCGAGCCTGAGGCTGGGGTTCTAACACACAAGGCCAGCCTGCGTGCCGTAGGAGCCCTGGCCACCACCCGAGCAGAGTCTGCTCTCTGCCAAATCACTGAACAAAATCCAACCTTCACAAAAAAAGTATCGACCACAGACTTCCCAGACCCGTGAATATCCACAGTGGCTTTCAAAAACCCAGGCTTCATTTTCAAAAGCAGGTGTTACTTAAACACAGTTACCAGGAATCACTAGGAGACAATGCAAGATCTTTCCAGTACTCCAGAAGGGTCCAAGTTACTTGGCCATCTGTGTAATCATCTCACATACACATACACACACACACACACACACACACACACACACAGCCCCACAAACAAAGCCAGGAGATTAAGGACATGGGCTTTGGAGACAGTCCATCGGACAGACTCCCAGCTCTGTCCCTTCACTGGCTGTGTGATCTCAGCCAAGATGCTTGATCTCTCAGATCCTCTGTTTCCTCAGCTGCAAAGCAACAGGGTATTTCTGCCTCTTTGTCCAAGAACAATTGTAAGAATCACAAAAACAAAAAACAAAAACAAAAACAAAAACAAAAACCCCCAAACCCCACAATGTAGGTGGACATGTGTGGTTTACAGAAAGCAGGCCTGGCCTCTCAGCCAGTGCATCTTCCAGGAGCTGTAAAGCACAACAGGTGCTGGGAGAAAGGGGGAAAGGGACTTTTCCTGGGCCAGGAGGAGATCTAGAAAACTCCAGGGACATCTGCCCAATTGGGGTCTTCTCTGGAATTTGGGACCTGGACAAGAAAGTAGTAGCTGTCCTGGCTACGGATGGAGCAACGGGCCCATCCACTGAGGCCAGTAGGCAAAGAGCTACCAAGCTTGCCTCCCAGTAGGAGGTCCGAGTAATCAGACCTCTCCAGAAGTCGCCCAGTCTACAAAGGACCCAGGGGCACTCAGCCCAGGCTCAGAGGCAAGTGAGGTGGATTCCCTGACAAAGTAAGTTCAATGCCCACTAGCTAAATGTTCATTGCCTTGTGAACATTGAAGCTTCCAGCCCACGGAACTGCCAAGGAAGCTTGTGTGACCCTGGACAGGGGCCCTCCCCTCTCTGAGCCTATGGGGTATTTTTTTTTTAAGATTTTATTTATTCATTCATGAAAGGGGGGGCAGGAGTGCGCAGAGACACAGGCAGAGGGAGAAGCAGGCTCCATGCAGGGAGCCTGATGTGGGACTTGATCCCAGGTCTCCAGGATCACGCCCTGGGCTGAAGGCAGCGCTAAACCACTGAGCTACCCAGGGATCCCCTTCTTTCTTTTTTTTAATCCTTAACCCACACATGGCCGTGCTAAGAATCTTGCCAGAGAGGGAGGATACTTTGTGGTTAGATCTGGAATCCTGGCTCCTCCACTCACTCATTGCTGACCTGGAGAAAATTACTTCACGTTCAGTACCTTGGCATCCTCAAGGATAACATGCCTTTCTCCTAGGGCTTTGTGAGGTTTGACCATGTTCATTCATGTTGTGTGCCAGCCCAGTACTTAGCATGGGGCAGAAGCTAAAACAGCATCAGTCAAGGGTCCTGCATTCACCAAACTGCGAAGGCCCTGCTGAGTACTAGAAATTGGAAAGGAAAGCTCAAGGGATAGAGTCTCAGTCCTGGGATGCGTATGGGCCAGAAGGGAAGAGGCAGTAAATAAATGTCACAGTGACAAATGTGCAATCACAAGCCAAGACCACTCCTTGAGAAACAAAAACAGTCCTACAAAAGAGAACAAACAAAAGACCTTGCCCAGCTAGAGGACCAACAGTGGCTTCCTGGAAAAAACAGAGCTTGAGCCAAGATCCAAAAGATGAAGAGGAACCAACGAGGCAGAGGCAAGGTGAGAAGGAAGGCAGGAAGAGCATTCCAGGCAGAGGGAACAGAATGTGCAAAGGCCATGTGGTAGGAGAACAGGAGATACAGGAGAGGAACTGAAACAGGACTCTGAGAAGGAAGGGGTCACAGGGCTGGAAAGGGTGCAGGCCTGCCCAGGCCACAAGGAATCCAGTTTTAGCAGAGCACAGAGAAGCCACGGCAGGCTTTGAAACTGGCTGGAGGGTGAGGTTGACTCAGACCACAACCAGCTGGAGGCTACTGCAGTCAAATTTATGAGAGATGATGGTGCTTTGGACCAGGGTGGCAAGACAGATATGGAAAAGCAGGGGGACAGAAAGAGGGACCAAGGATAATACCTCAGGTTAGGCCTGGGTGGGTGTGGGCAGTGATTCCCACACTCTGGACGCTGCCAAGAAGCCCAAGCGCTAAGAGGGAAGAAGGGGCAGGGGTGCGGGGAGAGAGACACAGTCAGTTTGATCTTAGTGAGGTGAAGCTGGGAGCCCTCCAAACGTAACTGGACAGAGCCAGTGGATGGGCAGTTCTAGAGTGCTCAGACACCCAGGCTGGCAATGCAAGTAGGAATATGGGCAACTGAAGCCGAGGTCTTGAGTGAGCTCACCCGGGGAGAGCGGGTCAACTGAGGCGCTGAGGCAGAAGCCTTCACACAAGTGCCAGCACCCAGTGGCTCTACAGGAGAGGGGGAGCCCAGAGAAGAGCTGCTAGAGAGGCTGGGGGCAACCCAGGAGTGTGGTGTGCCCAAGGCAAGGGGCGATCAGACTGCAAGGAGGAGTGGCCCATTGGGTCAGCGGAATGGTAGCCCCCCAAACAGGTCTACATCTGAATCCCCAGAAGTTGTATTACCCCCCGTGGCAAAAAAGAGAGAGATGGTTTAAAGTCTTGAGGACTCTATCCTGGATTATCTGGATAATGCAATTACCCATCTCCTTACGAGGGAGGTAGAGTTTTGAGCGAAACTCCTGTAAGAGGCAGCAGCGACGTGACCACTGAGGCAGATGGGAGCCGCATGGTCACAAGCCAAGGGCAGCCTGGCCACTTGAAGCTGGAAGAGGCCACAGATGGATCTCTCAGAGGGCGTGTGACCCTACGGAGAGCTCGATATTGGACTTCTGACCTCCAGAATGAGGAGAAAATTGTTGATGTTCTAAGCTACACGCGTTGGACTTCTGACCTCCAGAATGGGGAGAAAATTGCTGATGTTCTAAGCTACCCAGCGTGTGTGACAACTTGTTACAGCAGCTACATGAAACAAATAGGTCCTGCCAGCGGCCAAGGACTAGGCGAACAGAAACACGTCCCTGGGGCTGAGGCCACAGGGCCCCGGGGCCCAGAAGAGAGGTGCTTGGCCCCGGCTGCCTGTTAGGAGCCCCTGGGAAGCTCTGGAAAGTCGCCTTGGCCTGAGCCCACCGCGGTCCACGAAGTCACAGTCTTCAGGCCCCAGGCCTGCGTGGGGAAGTGGGGGGTCGGGGGGTGTTGCTGGTTTTCAATACACGGAGCCAAGGCTGAGAACCCCTGTCTTACAGGAAATGTTCTGGGAGCCTGTGGGGGGCAGAAACCATGCTGGAATAGGGTAAGAAGGAGGTAATGAAACGGAGAAGGTGTAGATTCTTCTTCCCAGAATTTCACCCCTCAAGGGGAAGAAAGCGCTGGAGAAAGGACTAGAAGTCAATGTGGGTGAAAAGAGTGGCTTCTCCGTGCGTGGGAGTGACGGGCAAGCTGCAAGAGCACTGGAGAAGAGGGGGTGCAGAAGACCACGAGAAGGTAGGAGGGAGCCCTCTGACAAGGGACAAATGGGGGAGGAGCCTGGAGGGGCAGCCAGGCAAGGGAGAGGGAGGACCAAGAAGGGCCCCAGGGAAGAGGAACCGCAAGTGCAGACAGCTGATTCAGGTGGGGGGGGGGGGCAGTGGCTTGATGTGGAGAAGGAGCTTAGTGGGGGAGAGAGGAGGCCACCGAAGGGGAAGGCGATGGGGGTGGAAGGCAGGGAGTGCTCGCAGGTCACACACAGTCCAGCGGAGTCCACTGAAGGGTTTGGGATCAGGAGGCACCATTTCAAAGCTCTTTCTGGCTGCCATATGCAAAATAGGGGAAAAGGAAGCCAGGACAGAAGACAAGGCTCCCCTGTCCCATAAGAGATAAGCACCCACGGGGAGTATCTGCCCGCAGCTCCAGACACAGGAGATGCTCCCTGTACATGGGCTACCCAGTGCAGCAGTGCAGGGGAAGAGGGTCTTAGATTGCTAGCCACAGGAGGCAAGAGCACCCCTGGGGACAGAGAAAGGAGAGCCTGCTGCCCCATGTGCCCTACACGCCCCACACCTCCCAGGGCTTCCTGGGAAGCTGCCCAGAGACATTTTAGGGAAGAAGCAGAGGTAGCAACCACCCCTTAGGCAGCCCAAGCTCCTCAGGCAGCCCAAGCTCCTCAGGCAGGCCTCCCACGGAACTTTCTGGAAAACTGCACCTACCCATGAAGATGTCTGTCAGCATACCCCAGGTGATACTGGGGTGTAAGCTCAAGGACTGGGGTGGGGACCCTGCTCTACTGTCCCCATTCAGGGAAAAGGAACAGCAGTGGCCTCTGATCATTGAGCTGGACCATGTACATATATTAACTGATTTCATCCTCGCAACCAGTAAGGCAGGAACTTCACTACCATCTTACAGCACAGAAACCAGAAAGCTCCAAGAAGGATCCAAAGACACAAAGGCAGGCAGTGATGGATTCGAACCCGGGTCTGAGTCCCCAGCTCTTACTAGGCTTTCCCCA